TATTTATATCTTCAAAGCTCGGTTCGCGTTGTAGAGGAGGAGTAATGGGACGATTGGATACGTTTGTTTGTTTTTTTCTCTGTATGTTGAGTGGAATTGGTAATGCGGGGGGTGGACTATTTTGATAAGCGATGCCAGGACTATTGGACATTCCTGGAGCGGTGGATTTTCGAAATAAGGATTGAACACGTGTAATGGTTTTATTTCTTCGAGGAGTACCATCTGCGGAGGTAGAAGGAGTTTGAGGCATCTTGCGGAGGAAATCGGTACGCACGTCGCTGGTGGGAACAGGGTCGGAGATATTTCCGAAGGAGGAACCGCTTTTGCGTTGGGAATGTTTACGACGACCGAGACAGCATACCGTGAGAAGAGCAAGAATGGCTCCTATGGCGATACCTGGAAATAAACCTATCAGGATTGCAACAACAGGGTATTTGTCGCATGTTTCTGGGATGATAGTTATAGGCGTGCCGGTTGAGGACGGAGTCGAAGTAGACGATGGGTTAGTGAACGAGGGATTGCCCGAAGTAGCGGCTACTTGTGTACCTGAGCTCGTGGCTACAGGTGATGTTCCGCTGCCCACCGCAGAACTCTGTTGTTGACCTGGAACGGAATCCGCTTGATCGGCGTTCATCTGACAGTTGCCATTTATGCAGGTATAACCAAATGGACAGCAATTACTTCCACATTTTTCCAAAGTTGCTGTCAGAGCTGTAGTTTTGAGTGTATTTTCAGGATGTGAAGTGATATTTTGTTGAGTGATGTCGCAAGTGATAGGTTGAATAGTGCTACAATCACTTCCACTAGGACAACACAATAAGGTGGTGTTTTGTGCTAAAGCTATACAAGTCGAAGTAGAAGGGCAACAAAAGTCTGATGGTAACCCAGTATTTGCACATTGTATATAGCCTGCTTGAGGACATGTTGCCCGTTCGAAGATAGTGTTTGCTTGCGCGAAATTTGAGCTTAAAAGAGAAACAATCATCAATAGCGATTGTTTGCTGATTCGACTTTGCCTCATAGCTGCAACCATATGTAAGAACACTTTTCTCGCCGAAAATGTACCAAATCGTGATGTAAATACTTGAAGCAGTGGACTTTGTGTTAAAATGGTAAAGTCCAAATATGTCAATAGTATGAATGAGTGTTAGAAGGAGAGATAAATGATACAAGAAGTATCAATGTAAAAGATGCAGAGTCTAGAAAGAGTATATTACGAGAAGAAACCTGGGAGAATTTGTAAATATAAGAGAGTAACAAAGAAAGATAAAATTAGAATCGAAAGATTTCTTTCTCGCGTGAAATAATGAACAATGAAAGTCGAGAGGTTCCAGAAAAAAATGGAGTGGAAGTTTTTGAGTACGAAGAGAAACAAACTAAACTTCCTTTGTTCACTACCCGATCAAGCATTTGACTTGACTTTCGTCATATAGCGTTTCTGTAAGAGACTTCTACTTCAGAAACACATGGTTTTAGAGGAACAAAAGGTCATCACCCATACATTCTTCAATGATGACCCATATCCATGTCTAGATGGTCATTCATGCGTCGACCGTGTACCTTCGAATAGGATATTTAGAAATGCGATCCATAACAAGCTACACATGGGAGTACTGGCTCTCACGGCAGCGGTTCGAGATGATGAAAATAGTTCATTGGTATTGAAGTTAGAGTTTGAAGAAATTTCAGAAGGTGAGTCAATGGCCAATTAGATGGCATAGTGTCTTCATCGTGAAGTCATTGGAGATGGACAGGTTATCAAGCGCCGAGAAGAAAGATTTGTTGTTGAACCTTTGGCGCGAATGACTGGTAAATAATGATTTGAGTAAGTTGATTGGATAAGAAGAGTCGAAAAGGGAATTGACGCGCTGGTTTGAGTTTTGTGCTTTTTGATTGGTTCACAGGTTTTAGGTAGTGAAACTTAGGTAAGCCTTCTATCTGGCGGTCTAGACTTGTGGAACTTAAAAAGACAAAAAGGCAGATGAGAGTCACGAGACAATTATTCTATTTTCCTTTTGCTGAAGAGGTAATGGAGTAAATGAAGTGACGGAAAGACAAACACTAGGTAGGTATGGATATACCAACAACTGATGATTATTATAAATATTCATGGTAAAATACTACATCATCATGACAATATCAGAGCAATTTGGGTTCATTCGGGGTCTTTGAAGTATCTTTCTTCATGAAGCTTTTCTCTTGACAGATCTCGCAAGAGTATACTGGCTGTACTTCGTAGGTATTCAAAGCTTGTGCTGATTGTGAAAACCTACCTACCTGGGTACGGATACCGGTGTAATGGTGACAGTATCACAGCAGTTTGATGCATATTTCTCTCTCGGCTTCTTGTTTTCTTCGTCCGTTCTTCTCCTTCCTCTCTTCTCTCTTCTCTCCTCATCTAATGCTCGCTTTTCTTAGAGAATCAAATTGAAGCCGAATTCCATGCTAATCAATGATTATCTTCACAGAGTTCTCCAACTCTATATATGTTGGAGCAATCTATTTCTATTTCTATTTTTATGGTTAACCTCTGAAGCAAGTTAAAGTTCAGTCAGATGGAAATGTTTCTCTTTAATTTGGAAAAACACGAATGCCAAGTCTACCGAGGTCGTGGCTTTCCCTTCCCAAGCGTTTCGCCGTTGAATGCGGCAGCTCTCCAAGATGATCTATGAGATCCAGCTGAATCGTATGCCGATAATTACCAGTACGGACGACGTCGGAGTATTCTACAAGCACAGGGCAGATGGGCAACTCGACTCACCCATGGCGGTCTTTTAGATTCCTTTCAATTTTTGCAACTATTTAAAAAAAGAAAGTGGGCGTGCAAGACATCCATCTACTGTACATCCATCTACATCTCGGGAAAGTTTGTAAGAGCAAGTTCGGCACCGTGCTCTTCCTACTTAGTTTCTATCTTTGCAAAAGGGATTGAGTTCGGAATTGTAACATTTCTCTCGCGGCTCGAGTTTTCATGCCCTGCGATGGTCGTGATCTTCTGTCTGATCTTCTGTCGTTTCCCATTCAAGTAAAATTTAATCAAAGGAAATGAGATGATCTTCTATTATGCTTATTGCTAGGATTGAGCTTCATGCCAAGCTTGATAGATAGATTGATTGATTGGAGGTTCCTCCTAGTCTCCTCCTTACCAACGTTTAGTCAGGAACCGATGAACGGACGGTCAGTCTGTACGGAATTTGTGGGTTTTTGTGGATATGAATGATGCGAGTGGTCAGTGGTGGTTTACGAATGTTTCTTTAAGTGGTAAAGGAGGGTAGGACCCCTGTTTCCTTGTGCTTGGAGAGAAGCTAGAACGGAGAGAACGGAGAGCACGGAAAGACAACGGAAAGACTGCATGGTTTGGATTGTACCTGCGCATGTTGCCGAAGGGATACGGTAGAAGACGAAAGGGGCAAAAGGAGAGGAGAGAGAAGAGAAGAGATGAGATGAGATGAGATGAAATCAAATAATGACAACAATTATGTGTAGGTATCTAGGTATCTAGTAGGGAGGAAGGCATGAACTGTGAAGTGTGAAGTGTGAAGTTGAAGTGTATAGGTACCCAAGTATACCTCGAGTGTATATAAAATAAGTTTGCACGATAATGAGAATGACAGCTGGTAGAGAGACCGAGAAAAGTTAGTACCTGGGTAGCTATGAATAATTCATAATCCGGGGAAGTTGTGACCAGGAATCAACATGAGCTTAGCTAATCTCGTCATAACGTGAAGTCAATAATAAACATTTCAATTCATCGGCCGCTATGAGATATTATACTTCTTGATAAACCTTGGAATGTATATTATACCTGGTGCACCTCTGAAAATGATTTTATACTTTCACAAACGATATTATCCTCATCACATCTCCTCCCGTCATTCGTTCAACGCGATGCCAATCTGAATAATTTCTTGCATAAGGTTGTTATCCGTCATCATCCATCCGAATCAGGCTAAACCTTAATTGGGTGTGGCTTAGCATCTCTTTTCACTTCCAAGTAATGAAACTTTAAATTTTGATCGCTTTCCAACATTTCCCCTATTGTCCACTCATCCACTCATTCACTCAACTCATCCACTCCCCGTATGTTAACATTGTTAAAATATTCTCGACTGTGAAAATTCGAAAAATCCTGGTCGCACATCCACACTCCGCCCATCATCTATTTGGCCTATTTGTCCCTCAATCCACAAAAAATGCGAGATCTCAATGGGGAAAATACGACTTTGGGAAATTGCATGAAGGGATGGTTGGATGGATGAGTGGATGAATGGATGAATGGTCCTGGAAGTGTTCAAATTGGTTAATGCAATTACCACTTTGGGAATGCATATTGTGAAGAGAAGAGAGGATATCGGTTTGCTGGAAGTGAGAGAGAGATGCAGGAAAAGTGTGCTGAGTAGCTAGGTATGTATGTATGATGGTGACATTTGAAGATGGAAACAATTGAATACAGGAAGTGAAATTGAACGATAGGTAACGTATCATACTCCTCCTACTCTTTCATTTCCTTCGTATTATTTCTCCTTCAATCAATCAAAATATCTTGGCTTCTACTGCGTTGTCTCTTGGTACACAAAATTTAAACATTCATCGCTTGTTTGTCAATTGGGAGAAACACCCAAAGAGCTTAGTCTGACCATCAATCACTTCCCATCCCAACTTCGGGGGATCTTACCCATGTTCAGAAGTCTTGGAACTTATCTAGTCCTGCAGCCTTTGGGTTTAGCTTGCCGTCTGATTATCTCTCCACGTTTTTATTTATCTCTTCAATCCGCCCTCTTCTCTTTCATTCCTCACTCCTCTTATCGACGTTGTTGTTGTGAATACCTTCATTTTGTCAATCTTCACGTTCTCTTCATCGCCGAACAAATATCTCTACCGCTTCACTCTTTCAGCGGGCATTCTTTACCAGCAACCTTGCGAATATATCGATCGTGTGGGAGGATATCATCCAATCAAAGTTCGATTCTTAATATACAATATAATCTACCACATACAAGATGAAGGCCGGAGTTCTCGCAGTCGCGGCTGCAATTGCAGGTGGTGTTAATGCTAGAGACCTTGGAAGGAGACATGGTCATCAAGATTTCCATGAGAGAGGATTGTTAGCCACACCATCGGAGTCATGTGGTTGTACAACTGTTTGGTCTACCGTCACTGGTGAACCTCAATGTATGTGATGTGTTCTACATATTTACTCATGTTCATGGAGTATGTTGCCTTTGGACATCGACTGACATTAAATTTCTAGTATACTTCCCACCAGCTCCAACCGCTGCTTCTGTTGCTTCTGGTTCAGGTGCACCACCAGCACCATCTGCCCCAGCAGGTTCTGACGCATGCTCCAATGCCTGCAACACTGAGTACAACAACTGTCGAAGTGCTCCAGATGCAAACCGATCCACTTGTGCCTCCAACTATGCATCATGCCTTGGATATTCTCCGTATGATAGCAACGGATCACTTGTCACCCCAACTGCTTGCTCCTCAGTAGCATCGACACCAGCAGCTTCTGCTCCAGGTTCATCGGCACCAGCGCCATCGGCGCCAGCACCATCTGCCCCAGCAGGTTCTGATGCATGCTCCAATGCCTGCAACACTGAGTACAACACCTGTCGAAGTGCTCCAGATGCAAACCGATCCACTTGTGCTTCTAAGTATGCATCGTGCCTCGGATATTCTCCATTTGATGGCAACGGATCACTTGTCACCCCAACTGCTTGCTCAGTAGCATCGACACCAGCAGCTTCTGCTCCAGGTTCATCCGCACCAGCACCATCTGCCCCAGCATCGTCAGCTCCAGCCACTTCAAAGGGAGTATCAACTGCTCCTACTGCCCCAGCTTCAACTGCCCCAGCCGTTGTCCCCACTCCTTTGGCAACCACGTGCCCAACTCCAGGTGTCTACACCATTCCAGCCACCACTGTGACTTTGACTGAATCCACCACTGTCTGTGGTGCTACATCAACTGGTCTTCCATCCGCAGGAACTTACACCGTTGGAGGTGTCACCACTGTCGTAACCACCGCCACAACCGTTGTATGCCCATACGCTGCTGTCTCAACTTCAGAAGGTGTAGTCACAAGCACCATCTTGACCACTACCTATGTATGCCCATCCGCAGGAACATACACCATCAATCCATTAACCACTACCGTTACCGAGCCTGCTGTTTGGGTTTACCCAACTCCTGCTTCCTATGCTCCAGGAACCTACACACAACCGGAAGTTGTCACCACCATCACCGAAACTAATGTGGTTGTTTTCTGCCCTTACTCTTCATCATACTCCACAATTGTTGATGCCACACTACCAGCTGGTACACCTGCCCAGGCTACTTCTGCTCCAGCCCCAGTCACGACTTCTGTCGTAGTACCAGTCGCAACACCAAGCTCTAGCTCAGTTTATGTTGCTCCTTCTTCAAGCGCTGTTTCCGTTGCTCCATCCTCAAGCGCTGTTTCCGTTGCTCCATCCTCAAGCGCTGTTTCCGTTGCTCCATCCTCAAGCGCTGTTTCCGTTGCTCCATCCTCAAGCGCTGTTTCCGTTGCTCCATCCTCAAGCGCCGTTTCCGTTGCTCCATCCTCAAGCGCCGTTTCCGTTGTCCCATCATCTTCCGTAGTTAAATCTTCCGTTGCATCTCCATCTGCCTCCTCCACTTCCTCCTCCTCTTCCGGAAACGGAGGCAGTGTAGGAAGCACTGGAAAGCAATGGGCTATGACTTATTCCCCATACCAAGATTCTGGATCTTGCAAGACTGCTGCAGAAGTTTCCGTTGATGTAGCACTCATTGCCTCCAAGGGATTCACAGCCATCCGTATCTACAGCACCGATTGCTCCGGACTCGAGAACGTCGGTAACGCTGCTAAGCTTGCTGGTATCAAAATGATCGTCGGTATCTTCATTAGCGAGACCGGATGTTCCGGAGCAGCCGATCAAGTCACTGAACTTATTGCATGGGGACAATGGTCTCTCGTTGAGCTTATCGTTGTCGGTAACGAAGCCATCTTTGGTGGTCACACTACCGCTTCTGAACTCGCCGGATTCATCAGCTCCTCCCGAGCATCCTTCGCAAGTGCTGGATACACTGGTCAAATCACCACCACTGAGCCCCTCAACATCTGGCAAGAAAACACCAGTGTCCTCTGCTCCGCCGTCGACATCACTGGTGCTAACCTTCACCCATTCTTCAACGCTGAAGTCACTGCCGAAAATGCTGGTAAATTCGCTCTCTCCCAACTCGAGCTTGCCGATGCTATCTGCCCTGGTCTTACTGCCATTAACCTCGAGTGCGGATGGCCTTCCGCTGGTACCTGTAACGGAGCTGCTTGCCCGGGTGTAGAAGAGCAAAAGACTGCCGTCTCTAGCATCATCGAGTCGTGTGGTGGACGTGCTGCCATCTTCTCTTACACCAACGACCTCTGGAAACAACCAGGTAGTTTTGGCTGTGAGCAAAGTTGGGGTTCCATCCAACTTTTCTAGATGATTTGTTAAAAGAGAGGAATTGGAATATATATACATGACAAGATATTAATTTATATGATATATTTCCTTTGTTTTCTGGCATCACATTACAGAAGTATGGTATGGCCATGGCATCCAACTTTTACGAATGGAACGGGGATAAATCAAAATACTTGAAGGATTGGGGCATTTTTTCTATGTTTGTTTTTGGATTTGGATATTTAGCATTTTGGCTTGGGAGAAGCGGTTGGAGTAGAGGTTGAGATATGGGCTCGCATTTTTGCATAAGCTTTTAGACAGATTATATTACTATACTATACTTACATTAATTATTCATACGTGGATATGGCGAATGCCAAACTCAAATTCAGATTCAGATTTGGACTTTGCATGTTTTTTTGTTTGGGTTTCTATTGATTGATTGATTCTTTGTCTTTGTACTTGTGTTTATTTTATTGTATAGTGATTTCTTGATTGACGATCACCAGATCTACTTGGGTTCACTCCCACTTAGTACGCAAGAGTCTTGAATATGAGTCTGATGGATACCTACAGAAGACTCTCATCTCAATCTTGATTTTGAACGGAAATATAGATTCAAAAATTGTTTTCGATTGAGTTTTCAGTTGTGTGGAATATGGAATGTGGAATGTAGAATGTGGAATATAGATTATAGAATGTAGAATATAGAGTGAGAAATATATATGTGTATTTTAATGTAATTAATATGATTCCTTCCCTTCTCTTCTAAACTTGTCTTATCTCATCTCATCTCATTCTCTATCACATCACATCTTTCAGAATCCAAGCTATCTAGTAAGTAAGTACTCATTATAGCTAAGTTTTCATCTCTACTCTAGTCTCGTGGATTTTCATTCTCATCCTCATTCTCCCCATCAAACTCATGTTCTTTCACGAACTCCAAAATTCCTTTCTCTTCCCCTTTGCCCGTCTCTTCCCCTTCCCCTCATCTTTCACAAACTCAAAATTACTTATCTACCTACTACATATTACACAGACACGCATAATCAGCGCGCAGATGAAAAAAACGAGGCGAAGCGAATGAATGAATGAATGAAAAGGATAAAAAGAAGTACATTCCACTTCAATGATTTGTCGATTTGTCGATTTGTCGATTTGTCGATTTGTCGATTTGTCGATTTGTCGATTTGTCGATTTGTCGATTTGTCGATTTGTCGATTTGTCGATTTGTCGATTTGTCGATTTGTCGATTTGTCGATTTGTCGATTTGTCGATTTGTCGATTTGTCGATTTGTAAATTTGTTACTTCATCACATCTCACAAGCAGAGAATTGAGGGCGCTGTTGCTGGTGGTGATATCTTCTATATCGAGGAATCGGAGGGGCGTCAGTCGAAGATGTAGACGCGGATTGTTGATTGTATGGGGGAAGGGGGTTGAAACATGGATGGAGATATATTGATTGGATTTTTACATTATACATTATACATTAAAATGAAATGAATCACCCATCCATCTACTCTTTTTCGGGGACCAATTTCTATCACTGTTTCCATTTCCGTTTACATTTCATAATCATGCTTAAACTCGTATGTAAAAATCCAAAGGATATGGTAATACAATGCAATGCAATAGAACAGAATAAAATAAAACGAGATATGGAAGAATAGAGAACAAACAGAAGAACGAGTTCAGGAGGGCTCGAGCATCGACATCTCTTACTTTCCACTCTCCACTTTTGCATGTAATTCATGTAGTTTGAAGAGGATATAGTCATCTACCCAATAGAATCCTTGGGCAAGGGACTAATCATGATTTATATTATCACTAGAATATTCGAAGCGGTAATTTGTCGGCTATTTTGATGAAGTCTGCCAATCACACATAGGGGTGTTTGGCCATGGGGATAATTAGCCGACAAGTAGTGAGGTTATTTGTAGGAGAAAAAACAGGCCGGAACTGACCATTGCGCAATAGTACGTGCATCCTCACCAAAACAACGCGTAGAGAGCAGCGGTCAATTCCGGCCTGTTTTTTCTCCTACGGATAGTGAGGATTTCTGCATGGCAAAGTGGTTGGTTGTGTTTTGGTCCGGAAGTGAGGAGGGGTAGAAGATACCTACTAGGTACCCAGGTATGTTTGGGCAAGGCAAAACTCATAGAAAATACTCATCATGACCTAGGAATTACTTAAACAATGTGAAGTGGAAGTCTTGTATTTTGGTGAATCTTCAGCTCGGTTCCAATATATCTATGTGAAAGGGAAAAACTTATGGTTTGTCAAATCTGCTTCAGAATGTTCTCTCAGGGCTACTAGCACAGAATGATTGAACATTCCGCATGTTGAACGGAGTACTTCCTCTCCAACTTGAGCTATAAACAATAGTATTTTGGTCCGCCATCTCATATTCTACACTTCTAAATGCAGTTGTGTCGAGACCTCACACATATAGTACATCAAATGCCTTGAACGCCATCTCCCAGATATACCACAGTGTAGTTTCCTCCGCCTCATATCTTATGCAGAGTGAATTTTTTATATCTCTAATTCCTCTCAAGCTTTGAAGCCGAGTTACCAGACAAAGCTGCAAGATCCGCCACAACACTCCAATCAATGACGTTCCACCAATTTTCCACGTAAACTTTCTTTCCTCCTATATCATCAGTTCCCATTCCATAATCGGCAATCCATACGTGTTCCCATGTATTGACGCAGAGAATGGGTGTGACTTCAATCCCTCCCGGTGGTTTCCTCTCTTTGCTTAAATGTCCATGTGCTCCTACTGTGTTTACAGGTGGTGCCGCCAACTTCTGTCTGTAAAAGTCCGTCACACTTTCACTTTCGGTATTCATATCCTTTGGTTGTCTTCTATGATGTGCACCAGGAAATGGTGAGCCGGCTAAATATGTAGTCATTAAGGACAGTCGGTCGAATCTATCCTTCATTAACCAGACGAATCCGGGCCCAAACATTTTACTAGCAGTAATGACGAATTCCCTTTTGAGCCCATCGACTGAGGAAAAAGAGTTCTCGATGGCGGCTCGGAGTTTCTCTGACATGACGGGTTCGCTAACTGGATTGGGTTGGAGGCAGTTGAAAAAGAAGTTGTTATTGAATGCCATAGAAGCATAGTTGAAAGTTGCCGCCTGGTCTGGATCTCGCGCACACAGAAGAGCGATTTCTTTGGGTTGTTTTCCATCGAGATGGGGAACTCCTTTAAAATTGTCAGTTACAGAATATCTTGTAAGGAATGTAGCAGCAATTGTAAGTTGTATCGTAGGATACATAACAGCAGTTTTAGAGGCAACCACGCAATTTGCATTTCGATTTCACAAAACTTCCTCGCAGACTGAATACCTTGACTGCCAATTGCAGAATAATCCAAATAATAAGAAATAACCCACCAGCTATAGCATCACTCAATTTGTCCACCATGAGTTTTTGATATGAAGTCCATGACAGCTCGAAAGCTTGAGGTCCAATGAATTCAGGAATGCCATTTGTGAAATCGTGCTTCAATGGCGGCACATGTTGGGAAATGCTTCTGAAGAAGTTCTTCTGCACAGAGCGCCCTATCCTAGGGAAGCGCGAGCGAAACATATTTGGAGGGGTGATGGACTTTCAAATCTCGACGAGATATTTCGCGATCCAAAAAATTGTATGGAGGTCCGCAAAGTCCGCAATTTTGTACATGCCTTAGGCTGCAGTAGTTCTTTGATGAACGCATGGATGCTCAGCCGAAGGGGAATCTTGATGAAGCGGCCAACTCCGCTGTCTTATCGTTGTTGATGCGGGGAGAACTAAAACATTTCATTGCATTATATGTCACAATATCATATTCACTAGCTGCGTTGTTGAGAATGAACAGTCAAATAAGTTTCTGGAAGTCTTTTACTTCGATTTTACGTCCCCCTTGATTGACACAGGAAGTGAGATTTGTCAGTGAATTTTGGTGTTATTTGAGCCGAGCATAAATAACATGGAATATAACAAGGCAATAGAAGAGTTCAGGAAGCATGAATATCCCATGCTCAAAGGTAAGTTTTCTCCCAAATACATATGTGCCAAGCTGATAGAATTTCCAGATGCCGTGTACCTTGATCATGCCGGTACAACCCTCTACTCAAAATCCCTCATGGAGAGATATATGATGGATATGATGTCGAATTTATATGGAAATCCACATTCCGCCTCTACATCCTCGCAGTTGTCGACTTCGCGCATCGAGAATACCCGTCTGAATGTTTTGCGGTTCTTCAACGCCGACCCAGAAGACTTTGATGTTGTGTTTGTGGCGAATGCTACGGCTGGAATCAAACTTGTTATGGACGCCTTCAGGGGCCAAGAAGAGGGGTTCTTATATGGATACCACCAAGATTCGCATACTAGTCTCGTTGGCGTGCGAGAGGATGCCGTGTCAAGTCGTTGTCTCGATGATGACGCCGTGGAGTGTTGGCTGTCTGGATCAGAACCTCTTGTCAGAAAGGTAGATAATTCTGAGATTGGCCTTTTCGCATATCCAGCACAATCAAACTTAGATGGTCGACGTCTACCACTGTCTTGGCCAGAAAGAGTCCGAAATCTTAGCTATGAAACCCAGGCAACTACATACACACTATTAGATGCCTCTGCTCTAGTTTCTACTTCTCCACTAGACTTGAGTGATGTTCGTAAGGCACCTGATTTTACAGTCCTTAGTTTCTACAAGATATTTGGATTCCCCGATCTCGGTGCCTTAATAGTGCGTAGAGATTCTGGAGCGATACTTCAAACCAGAAAATATTTTGGAGGCGGAACTGTCGAAGTGGTAGTGTGTCTGAAAGAGCAGTGGCATGCTCCGAAAGGGCAGTCCTTGCATGAAACTCTAGAGGATGGTACCCTGCCTTTCCACAATATCATGGCACTGGAAGCAGCAATAGATGTTCACAAATCATTGTATGGTTCCATGGAGCGTATTGCAAATCACACCACATTTCTCGCACGAAAATTGTACGAAGGTCTGAAATCATTACGGCATGCTAACTCCGAACCGGCCTGTATAATCTATTCCCCTGGCTTCTCCTCCGAAATTTCTTCCAATGTACAAGGACCTACAATAGCGTTCAACGTCAAGAACAGTTTCGGGGCGTGGGTAACTAATGTTGAGTTTGAGAGGTTGGCTTCGATAAGAAACTACCACATTCGAACTGGTGGTCTTTGTAATCCTGGTGGTGTTGCATCAGCACTGGAGCTTCAACCATGGGAAACGAAGAGAAATTTCTCGGCTGGTCTCCGATGTGGTGGAGAGACCGACATTTATGCGGGCAAAATAACGGGGGTAATTCGTGTGAGCTTAGGAGCCATGAGTACGATGAGCGATGTTGAGTCGTTTCTTTCATTTGTGGACGAATTCTTTGTAGACCACACAGCTGTATCCATCGATGAGGAAACGGAAAGTCACAAATCGGTTGACATGTATGTCGAAAGTCTTACAATTTATCCAATTAAAAGTTGTGGTGGCTTTGAAATCCCAAAGGGAACTGCTTGGGAAGTTAGGCCCGAAGGTCTTGCTTGGGATAGGGAATGGTGTCTTATTCATCAAGGTACTGGACAAGCATTAAGTCAAAAACGTTATCCTCGAATGGCTCTCATCAAACCAACAATCGACTTTGATTTGGGGTTGCTGAAGGTTCGATATCAAGGATCAACCTTACCTATTTTGACGGATGAAATCAATGTCTCTTTATCATCTGACCCCTCATTTTACAAAAATCCAAATAATATTCATTCATTGTCATCAAGGGTCTGCGGAGATGCTATCGCGGCACAGACTTACTCTAATCATGAAATTAACGATTTTTTCTCCAAGATTCTAGAGGTACCTTGTGTGTTGGCAAGATTTCCTGCTGGTGGTAGTGGTCCTTCTTCGAGACATGCAAAGGCGCACATGCAAAAGCACCAAGGACCAAATCGATCGGTCGCAATTGAGAAATCGACTACCCACTCCTTCCACGATCCCCCAACACCACCGGATTCTGATAGTGAGAATCGAAAACGTCCAATTCTTCTGTCGAATGAAAGTCCCATACTTGCCATTAATCGATCCAGTATCAATATGCTAAACGAAGAAATAGCCAAGAGTGGCGGCAAACTTGCTTCAGCCTCGGTCTTTCGAGGGAATATTGTACTAGCATCAACTGAATTGACCGATAGCCATCATTCATATAGTGAAGATCATTGGAGTACTTTACATATTGGTTCAGAAACATATCAAATGTTAGGATCTTGTAGGCGTTGTCATATGATATGTGTTGATCAGGATACTGCTGAAAAGAACGAAGAACCTTTTGTTACGTTGGCAAAAACACGAAGGTTCGAATCTAAGGTTTTCTTTGGTTCTCATATGTGTCATGTTCCTTCGTTGTCACCTCATAAAGAACATCAATTTCCAGTCATCAAGGTGGGAGACAAGGTTTCTATTGGGCTATGAGAAAAACAGGATGTAGAATAGAATCAAGAGGTGTTTGTTGATAAGTCTTATTATCCTTTTTGATGTATTGGGCTTCTATGCTCTGCTTATAGTGGTGATAACGTTATGTGACTCTCATTAAACGTAGATGATGATGTTCTTCTGGCGCCCGTATAGGATGAAGTATCCCAAGACATGTGGGTATGTGGTAGACCATACCTACATTCTTGGCCTTCGTTTCAAATTTCTTCTCGAATCGTCGGAGTAAAAGAGAATCGAGTTGCTTGTAGAATCAATGGCTAAGTCTGCCAATTATAAAGGTATCAGACCTCAGGAAGAGAAGGCACAAACCACTCAAAAGCTTGACAATCATATTAGAAGGCATATCTATTCACACTTTTATCTTGACTTTTGTCTTAAAGACCACTTTCATCACATTTGAAAGTTGAGAACGATCAAAAAGTTACTAGCTACTTAGCAGTCTGGACTACGAGACTAGCTCTAGCTACGTACTAGTTCGTTCCACACACACTCACACATTTAAGAAACTCACAAGACACATATTCTATTTCATTAAGCTTTCCCCCCAAAAAACTGAATTCATAATTACTTGCACCTTCGCATCTTCAGAAGAGAGTCATACACGTTGATTTGAGAGACAACAAAATTCACTATTTCGCTGACTGTACATCTTACAAACATCATTTCCGGAAAGCATGACCGAAATATCAGACTCTGAGCTTCATAGTTCAAATGACAACCAGATTGGGGACACTTCTGATCATGAGTACTTTGATGATTTTAATATCTTTGACAGTGACCAAGAAGAAGAAGACTACGGCGCCTTTCAAGACTTCGATGATTTCTCCGACAACCAAGACAGCAATCAGGATTTCGCTCCTTCCCCCTCAAGAGAAACAAATATTGAAGGGCTGACAATGAGTATTTCCGATGTTGAGCTCTCAGAAGACAGACCATCTCTCGTGTTCTTTGAAAAATTCAACCAGTTTCCCGAAGAAATTCAAATGAGCATTTGGCACTTTAGTGCTCTACAAGTCAGGCGTACCATCGTCATGGCATTGCGGGAAAAGACTTTCCAGTTTGAAAATTATCCTTCTACACCAGCTTTTATGCAGGTATGTCAGCAAGCACGAAAATATGGCAGGGAATACTTCTATGCTGTTGACGCGAAGGGAGTCCCGCATGATGTCACCGACCCCCAACAGGTTGACGAGTCTTATTTCTATGTCAACCCCATCAGCGACGACTTTATCTTGAAATTCGGAGATGAGACGTTTTGTCCTTCGCCGACGTACTGTCCCATACAGTTTAGTCCGGAGTATATGCGAAAGGAATTGAGAGCTCAGGAAAAAGAACTTTATAAACTCGAAGAAGAAGAGGAAGACGCTCGTCTTGAGGTACGTATTCGCCATATTCTATCTTGATCCTTTTGGCTAATGAATACTAGGCGGACATAGGCCATATAAGATTACATGTTCCTGCCGTAACCACAATAAGTTGGGGCTCGTTGTTTCAACCCATTCCCGCTACACCTGCAAGCGTAGCAAGACCCGCTCCCCATCGTCCCGGCGAGCCAATTTTCCCTCCTGCGTCAATACTTCCTCACTTCTTCGACAAGATTCGATCGGTTGGGATCAACCTCTCACTTGATTGCCCAGGAGTTGTCGGGTTTGAAGCCATGAGCGCTGAGCAACTCCAACAATGGACCGAAGATCAAGTTACTTGCAAATTCAACATGGTGTTCAAGAAAATCATGGATCGTCTTCCTCATCTCGAACATGTATTTGTGGTAGTGAGAGCATACGGGCGAAGTAATCGGTGTGAATCAGAACGGGGTTTCCCGCGTGAGCTGGAGAAGAAGAAATGGACGAGTGTGGGCATGGAAAAGGGAACGGCGAGACGGATGGGATATAGAGAGTTTAAACAGTTTGAGAATCAGGCAAAGGTTTGGTTAATGCATGAGAGGATTGATAGGGGAATGCAGTTGAATAGAATCGACTTTGGGTTATATGTTCAGACAAATATTTTGTGGGAGATTTAGGGAGGAGGGAGGATCTTCTGAGGGAGTAAGCATTTTAGTTTGCATGTGGCTTTGTTCCTGAAAGATATCATGAGTTTGGGAAGCTGGAGGTTTGGCTATCGCTATCGCGTGTTAACAGCCTGTCAAAGACTTTATGATGTCTTTCGATATAAGCTCACAGGACTTATCGTCTCCTCCTCCCCGATTCTCTACTTGCGAATTTCGATTAACATTTTACTCGTTTACGTTTTTATCTAAATCAGGTTCTACACGAAAATTATCACGGCGCATATAAGGAAGGGAAAACAGGCATACCATATCAGGAAGGGAAACATATATCTGGAGTCCCGACCTCACATCTGGAATTCTCCATGTAAAAAGGATATGGATATCGAATCTCACTTCAATCATATGACCGATCGATGAGTTACAGGAATTTGATCACATTTGGGATAGGTTTGCCGGTAGTTAAGGTCGTTGAGATACTGATAGTAATGGATATTGAAGCAAATTGATTTGGATTGGTTTTTATGAGTGCATGGTGAGGTGAGGTGGTGTGAGGTGATATGATGAGATGTGATATGATGTGATATGATGTAGAGTAAGGAGAGTTTTGGGGAGTAGAATATATGATGTGAGTGAAGATGTATGGTCTATGTTCGTTTCATGCTCATGCTTAATGAGGTTTTCTAGATCAGTGTTCTAGAATTGACCATTTTTCGGCTAGGTTTGATGTGTGTATGTGTAGATGAAGGGAGCGGATGAGAGGATGAAGGTAATGAACGAGGCCCTGCTAAATTATTAACGATTCGTCAAAGCCCAAGATACAGATCACATTAGACCCGTAGGTATGGGATTTTTCGATGGTGGTAAGAGTATTGGCTTTTATTGAGAATAGATTTCTTCGTATAAAACGAACCAAAGAATATTACTACACATAAATTCGTGCCCCATCCACCATAGATACACAATCCTCCCATTGAGACATCCCTCACTGTCTCTTCTTCGAAACCGATCTCGTGACATGCCCACTTCCACTCCTCTGCTTCTTGTCCAATTCCTTCTTCTCCTGCTCTTCCTTCTCAAACTTCTCCGCCTCGTCTTGATCCTTACGCTCTGCATACCATTGGCCGGCTTGCAAAACCAACACGCCCACCAAAACCAAAGCTAAAATCGTGTTACTGGCTGCCAAAACCCTCAAACTATCTTCTCTTCCTACGCCTGCTTCTCCTTCTGGCGCACCAGCCTCGCCATATAATCCGAGTGTTACAATGCGCATACCCTTGACAATATTGGTGATGTAAACCACGACGCCTACGACATAGAGAACGAGTGATGCGCCATCGAATAGGAGATTGGCTTCTGAAGGCTTGAAAAGCTTAATGAAGAGACCGATAAATCCAACTGAGACGACAATGTGGAGGATACGCGGGATGATGGGTGGAGAAGCGTGCATGAATTTCAAATGCTCTTCGATGAAGGTATAGTAGGCATCAGGAGTACTTTCGGTGGTCCAGAGAAGAGGGTAATCGTACGGAAATGAGGAAAAGAGAATCCCGAGGAAGAAGCATACAGCTGTGATGTGTCAATTGGGGTGTGGTTCAATCGAGCATTATTGGGAAAACTTACGGCCGATGATCATAAAGGTCGCGAATGAACTCGCGCCTCCTTGACCTCGAGGTTTATCGTACGTCTTGAAGATTGAGACTTTCGAGGTATCCATTTTGTGTATGTATGAGTGCGATGCGCTGCTGAGGTGTTTGAGGATTTGAAGAATTGATGCGGATGGTTTCTCGGATGATTTCGAATTGTGCGAATGTTCCACGGATGGTAATGGTAATGGTAATGGTAATGGTAATAATCTTATAATCTTATCTGTTTTGGTGGGCTGGGCTTAGCTACGGCTGATACAATAGTGGGGTGATGAAGTGGTTACAAGTACCTACCTACCTAGTAACCTTCGGTGCTTCAATGGAAGCTTGACTTGTACATCAGATGAGAGATGTGATCTAGAACTCACAAGTGAGAGAATGAATGCATATGAATGCGACGACAATAGATGATTGAATTTATATAAAGATACCAAATGAGAAAGAAGCTATTGACGAAATCAAAGATAACACATATACCTAGGTAGATATAGGTAAACTTGTAAGATTCTCAATACAATTTATGAGAAATTACAATTGCGAGCTCAATCTCTGGTAATCTCTGGTAATCTTGGGTGGAGACTAGGTGGGATAAAGAAGCCGCTAAGATGATTTGGGATTTCCTGTACGGGTGTACTGGTGTACGAATGAACTCCGATGTTCCGGCAAATTTGGACATTTTTCGCTCTCGGTACGAAGGAATAATACCTACGTTGGTATATCGTATACCTACTATATATACGTCGAATAGAGTTACTAAAGTCCACAGACGGAACTTTCTTTGTATTAGTGATGGATCGTCTTGGTATGACGGATGAGTTGGTCATGTCATGAAAAATCAATCAGGAAAAAAGAGCTCTTTCTTGAGGTACAAGTATCAAAGAAGATTCTTCAATCTCCATCCATCCATTGCATTCAACACATCCATTACATTCAAAATCTCTTCATATATCTTCTATTTCTATATTCGCCAAACTATCTCTCCATTATGATGAATATGTCCGTCTACCTCTTCTGGTTTCTAATCTTTCTTATTATATGTCTACTCTTCATCATTGTGCTTCTCATTCAGAATCACGTTGATGAAAAAAGTCTCATTGCTACACCTTCCATCAAAAAGGACGATGCCATTTTTACAACCTATGCAAGTGTCAAGATCAATGCCTCTGCAGACGATGTTTTCCGTGTAATAACCTCTTCCAAAAAATACGGAAGTGGTTATTCCCAATATCAATTCGAGCATGATCAGGAAAAATTGCCAGTCGTGGGCGCCAAGGGGATATATTCCGTGAGATACTCCTCATTGTGTAGAAAGTTGTGTAAAATCTAATTCGAAGTGTAGTTTCGGGTCGAAGATTTACGGGATCGCTGTGTACCTGTTACATTGACCATGCTGGATCCAGTGCACAGAAAGATGGTCGCGAAGACTACTCAATACCCCAATTGGCTTTTGGGCTCAGAAAGAGTCCAGGAAGTGGTGGCGGTGAAAGGCAAGGCGAACGTTTGTGAGTATAGGACTTGGTTAACCGTGCAGGGAATTGCGGCATATTATCCTCTGTTGACAGCAAAAGAAGAGATGGAGGACGTTGTCAGAGATGCGGCCACAGAATTAAAATTGTTTATTGAGTCGCGGAATCGCAAAGCTTAACCTTTGGATTTGGAGCAAGAATGCTCATATTGGGGTTCAATTGACGGGAGGCGAACATTCGGGGATATCCGTGGTCGCTGGTAAAAGCTCGTCAAATTACGGAGAGAAGCACTAAAAAGGATATGTGTATCAATGGGCCCAAGATTAGGAGAGGTACTTGTCTCTTACCCACCACGACACAATGTGTTTTTTGAGAACAAGTCGTCCTAGACCTGATAACTTGCAGACGGCAAAGTTCTTCGGATTTCGAGGATTTTTAAGGGCTCACGAAGGAGATATTTGACTTTGTCGATTTTCCGAATACGTGGGGCTTGCAAAGCAGACCTTGTCAACGCATACATGCTATCAATCATAACGAAGCGTGCTTAAAGAGATTGGAAAGAAGAATTCAGTGGATATTAATGGAACTACTTGTCTTCACCAATTACTGTCACCGTATCTAGCTCTATTAAGCTTTACATGCCCGTCTACACCTCGCCTTAACGACATTAGAATCATACGATCCTCTCTTCTGTATGGTGAGCAGCTGCCTTCTCGTCCAAACCACCATTACTAGTCTCGGCACCAAGCTGCAGATCATGTTCCGCGGCAATAACTCTTGCCTTCTCGGTCGCAGCTTGACCACCAACGAGCGCATTGTCTCCATCGAAATGCTTCACAATTTCTTCCAAAGGAGTGTTTCGTGTCTCGATGTAAAACTTCCAGACAACAAAGAGCTCAAAGGTCAACCATACGCAATAGAATATGTAATACTTCCAGTGAAGATGATCCAAAGCGATTGGGTTAACATATTGGTTGAAGAATAATGAGAGGTCAACGGCCAAGAACATGACGGTCATTCCCTATAATTTTAATTAGCAACGCCAGCAAAGAGCAGGGAAATTCATTACCTTTGCACGAATATTGTATGGCAAGATCTCAACACTGTAGCCAACCAAAAGACCTGACCACGCACAATTGTAGAAGACGTAGTAGAGGAAGATCATGACGACTACCGCATTTGCAGAAGCTTTGCTTCCGTGCATCGAGAATTGAGCCGAGCATATTGTCCAAACGACGAAGACACCAAGCATTCCTCCTGTGGAAACCAAGAACAATAGACGTCGACCAAGTCGATCGACAAAAAAGCACATTCCTGTGGCCACAATCATGTTGACGATCTGAAGGATGCCGTTGATCAAAAGTTTGGTAGTTGAGCTCTTGATACCGATTTGTTCCAGTACAATGTTAATGTAGTAACTAAATATGATGTTAATTTTCATTTTCAAATATTTTTGACTGGTAGCAACTCACCTGACAAGACCGTTTCCTGACCATTGGGAAAAGAAACCAAGAGATACGAGAATAATAAGACGATGTCTGTTTCCTGGCGTCTTCCAGAGCTCGGCCCATGGGTTTCCCTCTACTTCTTTCTCAAGTAATAGTGTTTGGCGAATTTCCTGGTATTCGAGCTGCACAACTTCGTCGTTTTGGTCTCCAGAAGCATGTACGTCTGCCAAGATCTTGAGTGCTTGCTCATTTCTGCCTTTTGCAATGAGCCATCTTGGTGATTCGGGCACGAACCTTGACCTGCATTAGCTTCTTCTCCCCGAACTAAAGATCTCGATTAGGGGCTTACCATATAAAAGTCATTTGGAGGATGGATGGGAAAGCCTGTACGACGGATGGAGCTCTCCATGACCAATTTCCTGCAATGTTGTTTGTTCCTGGGGATTACATTAGCT